TTAACTTACAAGGCGTGTGACCAGGGTGGTCTCTGAAACCCACTGGGGTGGACATTCCCTTCGTTAAGTTTTTTTTTTTTTTTTTTTGAGAGAGAGAATGAGAGAGACAGCACAAGCTGGGGGGAGAAGCAGAGGGAGAAGCAGACTCGCCATGGAGCAGGGAGCCTGATGTGGGGCTCAATCCCAGGACTCTGGGATCATGACCTGAGCCAAAGACAGATGGTTAACTGACTGAGCCACCCAGGCGCCCCTGGGATGGACATTCCTAGAAAAAGAATCTCTCCCCTCCAACTCTGTCTCACCTCCCTTTCTTATAGGGCAAGAGCAAGAACAACCTCATCCAGGAGAGAACAAACTGTCTATTATAGGAACATTGGATGCTAGCAGGTGGCAGGGGTTCTTTGAGAAATCCAGCTGCCCAGCACCAGGGGAATTTGAGGGTCCAGAGGAAGCTGGCTTTGGAAGCAGAGGCCAGTGAGCCTGTGGGACCCTGGGCTGACATGTATCTTCTCCCTGGAGAAAGGAGAAAGGCCTTCAATCCCAGCCAGGCCCTTGTCCAGGTAACCCAGAGTAAGCTTCCAAAGCTATTTTTGGGGTATTTCTGGTTTAGGGCAAGGGAAGGGAGCAGGAGAGTGCAAATGGGGTACAGAGAAACCATCAAGTTTCAATGAACTGGCCTGCAAATATACTGAACTCCAAACTATATTAAATATAATCTTAAGATTCTTTTGATGGTTCAGAAAACAGGTGAGCCTTGTAAAGCTTCAGGGTCCCCAGGAACACCCCTGGCTGCTCAGTAAACACCCAGTTGTGCCCACTCGTGCACGGTCTAAAGGATTCAGGTGACACGGCCCGCCTATGTGTTCTCAACGCGGGCTGGGCCACTCTCCCAGCCTCCAGGTTTTGTGCATTTCTAATGAACTAAAATTAGTAACAGGTGATAAGACAAAAACATTTTGAAGGGATGTCTGTGGGATGTAACTCTCATAGCTATTTCATTACATTCCATGAATCTAATTTTAGCTTAGAGAATACCCCTGGGGACTGCAGGTGGGATTCGCAGACCTGGGTTTAAAGTCAGTCACACCGCAGTTTTGCTTTGATAATCGAAGTCGAGCTGGCTTGCCTGGGACCTCAGGGGACTGGCATTTTGAGTCTACCACTTTCTTGGTTAAGAACAAACAACAAAAAGAAACCCATGAACTTCAGGAACTCTCCATTGCTCACAGGACTGCCACTAAACTTGGAGAATGGTCCTCAAAACTCTCCTCCATCTGGTCTGTTTATCCAAAAGCCTCAACATATCCTATCCCAGGCAGGCCACCTGCTCTGGCTGGTGCCTCTGAACTCATCTGGGCCTTTCTTTTCCTGCTGATCATTCCCTCTGCCTGGATCTACCTCTTGGCCAGGACCCCTGCTGCTCCCTAAGCTCCAGACCTCCGTAGCCCGCAACCTGACATTGATGAATCTCCTGTTCGCCTCGCCACATTCCTCACCTTAATGAATGACAAGGAAGAAGTTTCTTCCAGTGACTCTGCCAGGCTCTATTTAATCCGCTGCTCAGAGATACCTTTCTAAAACACAAACCAAGCCACTTCACCCTCCGGCTGAAAGCCCGCCAATGACCTCAAAGCTCATACTCCTGAGCAGCACCAGGGAGGAGGCCCTTTTGAGCAACTACGAGCTCCTCTCACTCTGTCCTCTAGCTCGGAACTGCTCATGGTTTCCCCCCTGGGCCAGGCTGGCTCCCCTCCTGCTTTCAGGCTGTGCACATACCATACCTCCCCATTCCCTCCACTGATCACTTCTTCAGGTTCCCTTGCCCATGACCTAGCGCCAGGAGGGAAATAAGCAGCCTTGTTTGTCTTACTGTAAGCCCACAGCCAGCCTTTAATGAATGTTTAATGATCAATAAATGAAGAAATAAGGAATGATACAAAATTGCAATGAGACAGAATCAGGACCATGGTGGGGGGTGAAACAAGAAGAGGTTACAGACCAGGATGATGGTTCACAACTTTGGCAGCTTCCCAGGTGAAATCTGAACACCCCCTCACTTACCCCCACCCTACAGAGAGGACAAAGAGAGACTGGAGGAGGAGGCGGGCCACCCCACAGTGGTAGGTGGCAGCCTGAATAAGCAAAAGAACTTACAGACGAGGCTTGTCTTGGGCAAGATCTCCACGCCTCCTGGCCAGAACTTACAGACGAGGCTTGTCTTGGGCAAGATCTCCACACCTCCTGGCCAGAATCTTAAAAGTGTATACAGAGGCGATACGCAACAATACTTCCCTCTCTCAAGACTGCATCCTTGAAACGGCTCCCACGGTGGGAACCACAGTTACAAAACAGACGTTCCAAGAACGGGGGGGGGGGGGTAAGGAGCCTCCAGTTGCCCAGGTCCTGCTTATGGGTCAACTGGCAGTCACGTCCTCCGGATGATCAACTCCAACATAGGACCAGCGCAGTGGCTAGTGTGCGGACTTGGGTGTGACCGCTAGCTCAGTGGGAAGGGGTTGGAAGTTAATGATCTGCAGTCATCCTTGCTGATTGTGTGCGTGTGTGTGCGCATGGGATAAATGAAGAGTACCTTTTCAGGATATACTCTTGTTGTCATAGGACCTCGTTCTCTTTAACCATTCTGAAGCCTTAAAAACCTCTTTTGTGTAATATGAGGGAGTGATCCCTAAACTGCGTGCCCCAACCGGTGTATGGATGGCCACCATCTTGGTGCGAGGTTGTTCATCTCTGGTAAGCACCACCCTGACACAATGCTTCTCAAATGGAGACTATTTTAGTTTGGACATTCCGATTCTTACAAGCACAACAGTCAACCCAAAGCAGAAATAACCAATTCCTTCTACAAGCTGGGCCTTGGAAACCGGGTCTGATCTTCTTTTCCATTTCCCGCGTGTTACTATTGTGGTGTTATGTACCTGTTTATCTGGGCTTAGAGTGAACTGTCTAGTTCTCTTGGCTCAGTGACAAGGAAATGAGGGAAAATTAGGAATAAGGAGTAGAGGATATGGTGAGAACAGGAAGGTAAAAATTGCTTCAATAAAATTATCAGCACAAAAACATCTATGTGAGGGACTAATAAATAATACAATACGTGTGCACGGCTCCTTTCATGTGGGAGTCATGGGCCTACTGTAGGATTCTAATAGAAAACCTATTTTATGGGGCACCTGGGTGGCTCAGTTGGTTAAGTAACTGCCTTCCGCTCAGGTCATGATCCCGGAGTCCTGGGATGGAGTCCAACGTAGGGCTCCCGGCTCAGCGGGGAGCCTGCTTCTCTCTTTGACCCTCTCCCCGCTCATGCTGTTTCTCACTCTCTCTCTCTCTCTCTCAAATAAATAAAACCCTAAAAAAAAAAAAAGAAAAGAAAACCTATTTAAGGAAAATAAAAGCACTATTGGGGCATTTCCATCTCATTCTAAGGCTTAGCTTGATGTTGTCTATGGGGCCTTCTGGAGTGAGATTTAATAATTCATCATTTTTTTCTATTACAAGCTTACTAGCTACTTTTGGAAGATAAAGGTGAGTGGACTCACGTAGCTATGGGCAGGGATAAAAGATAAGAGAGAATCTCTCTTAAATAGAGATAAAAAGGGTTGCAAACCACATGTAGCAACTCAAGTTTAGCTTTTATGGGTCTTCTTGTCCACACCTTTTACTACTTCCACAGACCCTGAGGACAATAATTAGAATTCAGGGGGAGAGGAAGGAACATGAAGAATCTTGTGAACATGTCTCCAGAAGCACATGCACATTGGTCTGGACAATCAGGATGACCTAGTTCCTCGTCTCCTCTGCCCTGCATTCTCCCCTCCAGCTGCAGAGTCTAGTGAAAATGGTAGAATATCGTACCCCTGGGGGCTGTGTCCAAGCCTAAACAAAGGCCAGATCACACAGCAAAGCCCCTTTATCTTTCAGAAGCTTCTGCAGTAGAGCCAAGGGAGGGAACCAACACCTGGGAAAAGGGGAGTCTATTTTGCGGAAAAAAATACCTGAATTGTTTCCACGTGCTTTTTCATTGCCTCCCTGGCCACTTTCTATCGGGTGGTCAGATTCTCCTGGGGGCACATCGGACACTGCCTTCAGGAAAACCCCCGAACCCTGTACCGCTAGTGGATCGTTCAGGGCCTTGGCCGTCTGCCGCAAAAACACATAAGGAACTGTGCATCCGGGTGTGTAACTCCATACCTTCTCTCATGTTGATCTTCCAACAGAAATTATTGCCCCTCCTCCAACCACCACTTTACTTCCCTCCTCCTCACAATTCAGACCAGTTACCATTATTACAAAAAGCCTCCTGAAACCTGACTCTTCCACTCTTTCCCTAATTTGGGTGATTTAAGTTAAGACTCTTAGCATAGAGCAATTACTTCCATGACAGCAGTTATCACGTTGTAATTAGCCCCTCCTTGGCCTGGGAGCTTCCCGTGGGTGTAAGCCATATCCACTGGGCTTGGCCAAGCATTTGCGTGCGCAGTAGGTGTTCAAGAAACCCTTGAGTGAACTCTAGGAATATACCCTCTTGAGATATATCATACATGCAGCCAAGTGCACATGTCTGCAATGTACACATCAATGATATACAGAGGTATAAACATATAATGACCACCCAGGTGAGCATTACGGTGCATTCCCCAGAGGCTCCCTTGGAACAACAGGCTTTAATTGCTTTGGGAATGAGCCCCATCCATCTTGTGAAAGTCGGCTGGTTGCCACTATGAGAGCCAAGAGGATATAAGAAGCCCTAATTCCTTGCAGGTGGAATGCCCGGGATGAGGGCAGGTGCATTTTATTCCAGAGAAAAGTTAAGAACAGGGGGATTAAAGACTAGAACATTTTTTTAAAATGCAAATAGTGAAAAATGAGCATAGCAATTATCCTTCTTCCCTCCCCCTCACGCTTCCCCAGAAATACCAGGGCCAGTGAGAGCCGGGGTGGGCGGTCTCAGGAGTCCCTGTCACCCCCACTCCCAGACGCCTTACCCATGTCCTGATGGCTGTTGAGACACGGAGACCAGAGTGACTCAGAAGTAACCGTGGTCAAGGCTTGCCAAACCTTACTTGACACGCGCCAAGCGTCGGGTCTCCGCAGGGATCTGACTCCTCAGCTCCCGCTCACCTGCACCTCCCGCCGACCAGCGTGCGTTCGGGACCCCGCTGACTCCGCCCGCGATGGGAAGCGCCCTCCCCCATCGCTGCGGCCTGACGCTCCTTAATTGACCCAAACGTTTTTGTTTTTTTTTTTTCCCCTTCGTTTCTCAATCCAGCATTTATAGCATCACGTTACTCCCAGAGAACGAAAGACTTCTGCTGTGGTTGCAGAGGCGGCCCCCGCCGGGGCGCGGGGCTCAAATCCGCTGCCAGCGGGAGGGGCGTCTGGGCAAGCGGGGACCCAGAAAGTGAAGATGTGCGGGTGACTTGGCCGGGTCCCGGGCGCGGCCAGCGAGGGGGCGCGCGCTCCACGGGACGCCGCCCAGCCCCTCGGCGCCCAGCGCCCCGCCCCTGCGCGAACTTGGCCGCACCCACTTCCCCCGGGAGGCGCCCCTGCCGCCGCCGCCGCCACCGCCGCCGCGAGGGCTGACGTCACAAGGCACCCAGCCGCCAGCGCCCCGCGGTGCGCGCCCCGCGCGGGGACTCGGCGCCGACAGCCAGGCGCGCCGCGCGCGTGCCCGTCCCCGCCTGCGAGCGCGGCTGAAGATGGCGAGCCCCGCGCCTCCCGAGCACGCCGCCGAGGGATGCCCGGCTCCGGCAGTCGGGGAGCAGGCGCTGCGGCCGCCGCCGCCGCCCCGGGCTCCCCCCGAGGAGCAGGGGGAGGAAGCGCAGGAGGAAGGGGCGGTGGCGGCCGGCGCGGGGCGGCAGGTGGAGGAGGCCGCCGGCGGGGTGGCCGCCGCCGTGACCTGGCTGCTGGGGGAGCCCGTGCTGTGGTTGGGCTGCCGCGCGGACGAGCTCCTGAGCTGGAAGAGGCCGCTGCGCAGCCTGCTCGGCTTCGTCGCGGCCAACCTACTATTCTGGTGAGAGCTCGGGGTGGGTGGGGACGCCCCGGAGGGCAGGTGACCTTGGGGCGCCCAGGAGCAGGCGGAGGGCGCGCCCCAGGCCCGGTGTGGGGGTGCACCTTGAGCCCCGCGGAGGAAGTGTCAGCCCTGCCCCACTTTCTGGGCCACCTTTCTGGAACAGGTAGACGCACACTTCAACTTTTCTCCAGAAACACTTCCCCGTGAACAGTTGCTATCCTCCGTGTGCGTATCCAGCCTGGCATGGGAGGTGGTCGGCTGATCCGCATGCACCTGTACTTACAGGTGTGCCCAGCGTGCTTGGAAACTTTGGCTTTTGCTTTGGAAAACTCACAGGTCTTGGCCTGCTTCCCCAAATCATGCCAGTGCAAACGTGCTTGTACTTGTATTCGCTTTTTCACCCCGAGCAGACATCTGGACCGGCATAGGTACACGCCCAAGACTGTGCCGCCTTCATCAGCCACCTGAGATAGGCACTGAATGATTTGTTTTTCCATTCCCTGGAGGGTTAAGTTTACTGTCTTTACTCCCTGGTGAGAAAACGGGAGGCAAACAGGTGGATTATGTGCATCGCCCCGCTGCCCGCGCCCCCTCCCGGGTATGTGCACAGTGTGATAAACAGTCATACTTTCAGGTGAAGTACAATATAGAATCTACAGGAATGTTCTCTGAAAAGCCCCTGATCAACAGGTTTGTCTCTCCAAAAAGCTCCCCTCACCAGTAAGGGCAGGCAAAGTGGCTCCTTCATTCAAGGACGTGCCCTGGCATCGGTTAGGAGTCTGATGGAGGGTGGAGAAAAGCTTCGTCTTTTTTGCAACTGTGTCCTCATAATCATGATCCCCACAGTGCAGAATAAGCAGGGGTTCAACAGGAGATACCTTGTTACAGGACACGGACTTATTAACCTTAAAGTTAGGAAGTAAGAAAGTACATAAAACATACACCGCTTGCTATTTTCTAGGCTACCTGGAGCAACTTGAAAATTTTTCTGATCTGTGCTAGTCTTGATTTTTTCTTTAAAGTGAGCTGTATCTTCTCAGGGTCGCTGAATGTGAATTTATTTTGGTTATTTTAGCTGTATGTATTTCTAGTGTTTATTCCAAATTTCTGTATCCTGTTCTGAAGTTATGTGAGTCCTCAGATAAGGAGGATGTATTGCATTGTACTAGATCAAGCCACAGTACAATAATCTTAGGACGGTGTTTCCCTCATTGTACCAGTGAGGAACATGTTTTTAAAATTCTCTTAATTTTAAATTGTATTTACTTAAAAAACAGTTAATAGCCTCAGAGTTCAAACATTTAAAGGTAAAAAAAAGATACATATTTCAGAGATCTCTTTCCCATGCCTGTCTCTGGCCACCCAGTCTTCTCCCAGAGACAACCAATGTTACCAGTTTTCTCTGTATTGTTCCAGACTGTGCATATTTTTTTTTTAAATAGGAAATATTCTGTGCAAACTGTAGGGTACTATTTGGGTTATTCCTCTTCTTGTATGTCTTGGAGATCACTTCCTTGTTCTTTTTCAGTTGCAGAGAATTCCATCATAAGGATGTCAAAAATTATTTAACCTTTCTCCTACTGATGGACTAAGATATTTTCTAAACTTCTCCTATTTGAGTGTTCTAGCTAATGGCCTTGGACATGCATTATTTTGCATATATGAAAGCATTTCTGTAGGCTAGGTTCCCAGAAGTGGAATTACTGGGTCCAAGAGAATGTGCATGTGTAATTTTTTTTAAGATTGATTTATTTGAGAGAGAGATGGAGCGCATGTGAGCAGGGGGAGGGGCAGAGGGAGAGGGAGAGAGAGAAAATGCCCAAGCGGGCTCCCCACTGAGCAGGGAGCCTTCATCCTGAGCTCAATCCCAAGACCCTGAGATCATGACCTGAGCTGAAATCAAGAGTTGGGTGTTTAACCGCCCCTGTGCACATGTTATTTTGATGGCTATCATAGAATTTCCTTGGCAGTCTATAAATTTATACTCCAGCCAGCAATGTGTATGACTGCCCATTTCTCTATACCCTTGCCAACGGTATTTTACCAGACTTTTTGATCTTGTATATCAGGTAGGTGAAAAGAGCATCTCAGTTTGTTTTAATTTATATTTCTCTGGGTTTGGGCATTTTTTCTTCTGTTCAAGAGCCACTATAATTTTCTTTGCATTATCTATAAATAACTTTGTCCATGTTTTTAGTTGTGCCATTGGGCTTTTTCCCTATTGATTTGTAGGAACTCTTTTTAGATTAACAACTTTAGCCTAATTTCTGGAATGTAAATTACAAACATTTTTTTTTCTATGATGTATTTTTAATAACATCCATTAAAGAAGGATTTTTGCATAAAATAATTGAAAGGCATATTTGGTATTATTTTGGAGTGATGTCTTCCGTCCATTTTTTTTAAACTCTTTTTTTTTTTTTAGAGTAAGCTCTGCGCCCAGTGTACAGCTTGAACTCATGACCCTGAGATCAAGAGTCACACGCTCTGCTGACTGAGCCAGGAGAGCGCCCCCGTTCTTTTTTTTTTTTTTTTTTAATGAGTCTGATGGAGAGGCAAACAATGGCCAGGCATTCAGCCCAGCTAGTTATAGCTAGTTATAAGCTGCTTATCTGTTTTATTTCTTCTCCTCTTTGCAGTATCTACATTCCATGCATGTATTTTCTTTGACAAAAAGAGTCCTGCTTTTAAAATTCTGAAATACTTACACTAGTTGTAATTTCTGATCCATTTATTAATTTCATTAAAATGTTGGTGTTTTATCCCCCTCTCTTGCTTTTGTGGTTAAAATGATTTTCAGGGTCATCATTTTCTTTAATGTGCTTCTTATCAAGTGATCTTAAATTATGTGACACTCTAGCATTCTCTGTCCCAGGGACTCTAAAATTGTATTTTTTTATGAGAAAAAACGATCAATGTTAAAAATGTAAGGAACCCAAATCTTGTCTTAAGCAAAAGTGATGATGTTTTCTCTTTAATTGGTGTTACTGCATTTTTGTGGAAATTAACTTTTTAAACCTTTTTTGAATGATTTGGTACGTGATCCCAGCAGTAGCTTTCAAGACTTTGAGTTGGGGTTCAAAAGCTCTAACATTTTTCACCTGTCCTTTATCTGCAAGATTTTAGTGCTGTGCACTAGAAGCACAAAATCCGAGACACAGCCATAACAAATGGGTATAACATAAGGCCGCATGAAGCAGGTGTGGTGGAAGAAGCAGAGAAAGTATCATGCATTTGATGGAGTTTTGGGGGAGTGACAGCATAGTGGCTGGAATAGATCATGGGGTCTTCCTAAGGCGATTGTGCTTGAACAAGACCCGGGTGGACAGGACAATTTGGGTAGATCTAATATAAGGTCAACAGCATTCCAGCCCTAAGACATTGTTCTTAATGTTTTGACCAAGGTACTGAACAAGTGCGATCAGGTAGTGGTTGGTAGAGAAAAGTAGTAAGAGGAGACTGGCTAGGTGTTTTGGACACACAGTTGGGGACAGTGTGGTCACCCTGAATGTCAGACCATGTGTTTGGACTTGTTTTTTTTTTTTATAGGCAGTGGGGACAAAAAAATGTCAAAGTGCCCATGAATCTTTTAATGGGTAAGTAAATTGTGGTACATGCATTCCTACCATAAAATACTATATCACGGTGAAGGGCACCTGGGTGGCTCAGTCGGTTGGGTGTCTGCCTTCAGCTCAGAACACGATCTCAGGGTCCTGGGATTGAGCCTGGTGTGTGGCTCCCTGCTCAGTGGGGAGTCTGCTTCTCCCTCTCTCTCTGCCCCTCCCCCAGCTCGTGCTCTCTCTCTCTCTCAAATAAATAAAATCTTTAAAAAAAAATACTATATCACAGTGAAAATAAACTGCAGCTATAGGCAACAACGAATTTTACAAACAGATGAATTTTACAAATGTAACTTGGGCAAAAAAGCACACAATATGTGTAGAATGATCCATTTTTTTAAAGGTTTTTGAACACATTTAACAGTATCGATTAGGGCTATAGACATAAGAGATTAGAAAGGCTTTTTTTTTTTTTTAAGAGAGGGGGAGAAAGGTGGGGGAGAGGCAGAAGGAGCGGGGAGAGAGAATCCTAAGCAGGCTCCACGTTCAGTGTAGAGCCCCACATGGGCCTCGATCCCAAGACCCTGAGATCATGACCTGAGCCGAAATCAAGAGTCGGACGCTTAACTGACTGAGCCACCCAGGCGCCCCTAGAAAGACATTTCTCACCCCTAAAATCAAGGAAGTGTTTATCTCTGGGAGGAGTGAGAAGGTATGACCACAGAGAGGCACATAGAAAGTTCTGGGGTGTAGGCAGTGTTCTGTTTTTTGGCTCTGGTGGTGGTTACATGACATTCAAGTTCTGATTATTTTAAAACTGTGTGTGTGTATGTGTTCTTATCTATGATATATTTTATGAAAAATGCTGGAATACTAAATAATACTAAAAAAATGGCATTCACTCATAGCTCCAAGGAATTTGATAAAACACAGACCACAGATAGTGCCTGTCTCAAGTAGCAGGATTTCTACAACCTGAAATAGATTGAGCAATGGCCCAATAGTCTTAGGGTTGTGTCTTTTTCATCTTACCAACAAAGAACATGTTTTTAAAATTCTTTTTCTTATTTTTAAATTTTACTTATTTTAAGAAATCGCTAATACCGCCTCACAGTTCAAAAGTTTAAAAGTACAAAAGGGTAAACAGCTTGAAGAACTCTTTCCCACGCCTGTCCCTGGCTACCCAGTTTCCTCTCAGAGGCAGTCAGGGACACCACTTTTAAGCACAACATAAAATAGGATGGACCCAATGAAGCAGAAAACACCATTTATTTTTGTTTTTAAGGGATTAACTTGCAGTATGCTGTCAATAAAATGCACACACTTCAAGTGTACAGCCAAATATATGCTCTGTATGCTATAACCATACAGCAGTCAAGATCTAGAACACTCCATCACTCCACAAGATTTCTTCGAGTCCCTTATCTGTCAGTACCCACC